CCTTAATATATTTTTTTACGTCCCTGACTGCCGCCTTGACGAATGAACTTGCCGGCGTGTTGGACTTATTGTTGTTTACTTCATTGCCGGCAAAAAACGCCAGAGTATTGGGATACTTGGAAAATGCATCAATGGTAAGTTTGTATTGGTCGAATAGGGAGAGAGCCCATTGAGGACTATCACGATTGATGTTTGCTTTTACAGTGGCCAGGTCGAGAATTAGATATATCCCTGCATCAGAAAGCAGGGACATGCATTGATCGTGATTCTTGTCATTGTCAATCTATACAATCATCATTACATGCGCTTAGTCCTCGAAACAATTGCAATCATTTATGCATCATGAACCCTCTTACTTCATAAACTCTAATGGTGTTGAGACCCAGTTCCTTCATCAAATTCACGTCACGTCTGCAAGCATCTACCTGTGTCAATGGATCGACATACCCCCTTCCCAATCCACGTGGTTGATACGCAACACCCTTGACGAAAAATTGTTGCTTTGTTACGGAATCAAAGAATTTCGAACCTTTTATTGTTATTGGATTTATGGATTGACATGGTGAAATCCCTATGATTATAAGGATGAACAGAAGTATTATTGTGTGATGAACAAATTGAAATTTTAATGATTGACGGCGGCATTGGAAATTAGACGAAGAAGAAGGGAAAAAGAAGACGCGTGTGCAGCAAGAAAGGAAATAATGGTAGCACATTGCGTTTTTCATGTACGGCACGTCAATAAACAGAGAAAGTAACAGTTGGCGGGGAACGGTTACTGCTAATAACAAGCTACTTAAAAAGACTCTAGATATAACAATTCCAAGGGTATTTGAATCATTAAATAATAAAAGGAATAAAATTCAAGCTCTCTTGCCTTAGAGTACGAAAAAAAAATTAGTGAGGATGACAAAAGTTTTATGTAATTCATTGCACAGTCTTCATCACATAGCTTAAAGCACGTTGAATAGTCTATCTCATTCGTATCTTTCTTTTTTTTTATGATTATGATAGTATGTTTTATGTGATAATTATATGTTTTCGCGAGGTTGTAAAACAACTATTTTAAAAAACGAACAAATACTTTCGTGAAGAATAGATAGCTTAATACATTCGTACAAGCCATCTATCCTATCCCAAAATCGTTGGTTTTATATAATTTTGTAATTTAAATTTGGAATTCACCATATCTTTCCGACCTATTCTTCTTCAATAATTCTGTTTTATTTTAATGCATTGCACAGGCTGGCTTTCATGGAACCCTGTCGATACGGCTGCCACAATAAGTCCAACACGCCGGCAAGTTCATTCGTCAAGGCGGCAGTCAGGGACGTAAAAAAATATATTAAGGA